TGAGAATATGGAAAACACAGAGACTTTCTGCCAGTACAAATGTGATATTCCAGATTTTTTTCCATTTCATTCTTCATAGCATACCTCTCTGAAGGCCAGTCCCCACAATCCTCTTACTGGATTCTGTTCAGGCTGGGCTTCAACAACTCTTGTCCTCCGTTGCACCCAACAAAGAAGACTAAGACAGACTGACACAAGGACAAACATCTGCAAGAGGAGCTTTTCATTGTTCAACACACAAGTGTACAGTGTGTGTGCATGAGAGAGAGAGAGAAAAAACAAGTACACGTGTCCCAGTATAATGTTGCAGGATAATGTTGGGTCGGTCACCGGAACCAGAGGTTTAGTCTTCCGAGCTTTCGGACTCATGCTGGAGCCCATCCTCAGGGAACTTGTCTCTACCAGATTGTGTGTGTGTATCCATGCTATCCCCAAACACAAAGCAAAGAAATTAAAGGGAAGAGTCTTCATTGTTCTAATAGGTTGGGGAGGTGCGCGTGGGTACACGTGCATGATATTTTATGTTGAGAAACAGTGTTCAGCTATCCAGTCTCTCATTCATTTGGAATGTGAAGTGATTGCTACTGCTTGCCACATCAATCCCTAAAGGAGCCATTAACCTAAATGTGACTTTTCTTTGTTATTCTCCGGTGGAGTGTATTGAATGAGAAAGCAAACTTCCCAATTCCAGATGGCACAGCCTAAGACCAGAAAACAGCCCAGCCAGGTCTATCGTAGAAGCACTGTCTTTGTTTGTGCCCCTGATGTGCTCCTGACTCTCATGGATACTTTAACTAGACCCAGAATTCACTCACATTTTCTCCTAGGTTAGTTTGCAAACCTGGGTTATAGAAATGGGATGGATTACTGGGTTATACTGCTCTTAACCTGTGTGGATATATCTGCAAGTGGTTAATTATGATAGCAGCACTTCTGGTTCTTTAAAAAAGAAAAAAAAAAGGCTGAATTGTCCTTTGGGCTCTGCATATAATCAAATTGCTTAATAAATAATTAACAAAAACATAATGGACAAAGCATTAAAGATGACATCACCATCTACCTCTCTTCCACCCTTTGGGTTCTAAGCGTCTGCTCTTTCTCTAAAACACAATTATTTCAAATACTTCCCCAAAAAATCTTTTAACTTACTTCTGTATAATAATTATGACCAGGGCTATAACAATGCTTTCTATCCAAGCATTAAAATATTGTGAGAACAATTATGCAAGAGTATACACTACAACCATCGTATCTTTATTATGGTCATCATTTATTATTTTTAAGATCTCTCTTCTTGGTTGTAGCATTTATTCTCTGAAGCAAACTATTGTCCTATTTATAAGTTGTATATTTGTATTCTTCTTTCCCCTTCTGGTTTTGTCATTATTTTTTCCATTCATTTTGCTGTAACCTGTCAATATCTAAATAAAACTGTAGCTAGTTTGTGATCTCCTTGCTTGCTTGCTTGCTTCAAAATGGAGGCAGGAAGAAGGTATCCATTTTCATCAAGATAATGAGAATGTTTTGGTCTTCCTGACCATCTGGAATTGGAAGATCTTAAAAAACAGAAACATTAAATATACAAATATCTGTATATATAAAAGTCAACAAATGCACACACACACACACAAAATGTATCCGTGAACACTGAAGTGCCCAGGCACTTACAAGAAATCAAAGTTTTTAAATAGAGTTTGTTTTCACCCATGGAAAGAATTGTTAGGAAAAAAAAAACTCTGCTTATTAGTAAACAAATGTTAAGTAAATTAAGTTTTGGCATATTTACTAAGTTTACTGTACTCACAAATATGCGGAGCACTAAAAAAGAGATAGCCCAACTCCCCAAATGCATGCACACTGCTTTGGTGGTCTTGGGCTGATCTGGATTTTTACTAGTTATTCTCAAAAAAAACAGCAGGTTTAGTATCCTGGGATATGTTTAGAACTTTCAGTGCTTTTGAGTCATGCTTTTGAAATTCCATTTCTAGCCTTGGGAACAAAGGAATGATTTGATGCTTTCTTTCATTGTCCCTTTAATGTTTGAACTCTAGTTCCATAATAATAGAGCATTTTAAACTTTTTAAAATTACATTCATGATATTACAATTCTTCCAGATATATACAGTATGCCTTACAGAGCATTGACTTTCAGTGACAGCAGATATGATATTGTACATAATATTTGTTTTTCCTTTCCAAGTTCAGAAACTCTGCTCCAGTTTAAATGTATTCCACATATTGGTATCTGTGCTGTCTGGTGTAAAGATAGTCCCCAATTTACAACTGGTTGCTTAGTAACTGTTTAAACACCCCCCCCCCCCAAATATTAATGATCCGGTTTTGAAGTTCCAGTAGCTGCCTCCCACATCCAGTCACATGACCGCATTTTGGGCAGTTGGCAACCAGCCTGCATTTACAGCTGTTTGCAGCATCCCATAATCAGTTGAGCGTGAGTGACATTTTAGCTGAAAACCAACATTCACTTCTGGTTTCTGGCAAAAACGCTCACACTGAGCAATGGATTTGCTTAATGACCGCCACAAAAACAGGTCATAAAAACTGGCAGGCTCCATCACAGTCGTACGTTGAAGACTAACTGCATATGTATCTCTCCTGTCGGCTCCTATTTTATTTCTTACAGCTTGTTTCATTCATATTTTCTGCCAGAAATCCTCATCCCTGCGGTGATGAATTTATGGGTTGAGGCTAAGGAAGTATGAGCAGATACAAAGTTCTGCAGTGACAAGGGATTTGGGGAGTAAATTGCATGTGCATTCTGCTATTAATATGGTTAGAAGGACCAACATGATTGTATGCCTTCCATAGGATAATAATATTTGTCTATTCAAAATAATGTAATCAAGAAGAAACATTCTGATCTAGGTTTTTGTTCTCTCTTGAATACCAGTTTATTCAATCATGTGCGATTCCATTCTTCATTTTAAAATAGTACAGATTAAATTCAAATTTGCATTCATTTGTAGTACAGACTAAATTCAAGTTAGTTATAATAATCATGTAAGTCCCATTGTTTGGGTTTTTAAATCGAGTATGATGTACAGATAAATTCAGATTTCCAGGGCCAGATAGATTTCATGCCAGGAATGGAAGAAATTGTCTGTTGAATAGATGCAGCCTAACCTAAGCACTTTATTTTATTTTTTTTCAATCTACCATATTTCATTCTTGAACAGTGTGCTAGGGCATGCAGTAATATCAAACTTCAGAATGTATGTCTTCTCTTTCACTGTGAAATCATTTCCCTGAGGTCAGCAGATTCATTGGCTTCCAGAGATTCAAGTCCCAAGAGAAGGCATGTTCAGAAAAGTGCTTCTACAGCTTTTTTCACATTGGAAAGCAGAGGCAGTAAAAGATAATACAGAGGGGTGAAAATGTGTGATAGATAAATAGATGATAGATAGATAGATGATAGACAGACAGACAGACAGACAGACAGATGATAGGTAGGTAGGTAGATGGTAGGTAGGTAGGTAGATAGATGGATGGATGGTAGGTAGCTAGACAGACAGACAGACAGACAGATGATAGGTAGGTAGGTAGGTAGATGGATGATAGATAGATAGATAGATAGATAGATAGATAGATAGATAGATGATAGTAGGTAGATGGTAGGTAGGTAGGTAGGTAGATAGATAGATAGATAGATAGATAGATAGATAGATAGATAGATAGATATAATAGGTAGATGGTAGGTAGGTAGGTAGGTAGGTAGGTAGGTAGGTAGTAGATAGATAGATAGATAGATAGATAGATAGATAGATAGATAGATAGATATGACCAGCACTTTCTGCCTTTTTGCAACAATGGAAACAAACGGGATTGAGCCAGTGTAGTACAATTAAGGTATCAGACCAGGAACAGAGATACTCAGGAAGATTCAGTTTCATTGTCAACCACAGATGCTCACTAGGTGACTTGGCCCAAACTATGTCTAAAGTTCCTTGTGGTTGGAAAAAACTGGAGGAGGCTATAAAACAGATGGTTCATAAAATTTAATGTTTCTCTGGTAGTGTGCTAATGGCATACCTTTTCATCTAAAATCTGATGCATGTTCCATTGTTCCTAAGGGGTTCCAAATATGTCTTGTGTTTCCCATGAAGATCATGATTCCGTCTATTTGTTTATTTTTTCCAAAAAGAATTTTTCTTAAGAAAATAACTGAATAAAAAGCTGGAATGCCTTAGTAAAATTGTGAGCCTTTAATATCTTATTTAGTAGACTTTTACCACAAAACTGCAATTTAGTTGGCAAAAGATATCCTGAGTGACAAGTTCTCCTTCTGTTTTGTGAATATATCTCTGGATTTATAATGGATGGGAATACTAGGGTGGGCCTTTTAAGTGTATACTCCCAGTATTTGAATTCATTGAAAAGGGGAGACAGGTGTGTGATCCCTCAATTGGAGAGGTTTCCATAGAGAAAATTTTAGTCATTTTATCATGTACTAGACAAACCGTGACCTGTTGGGTCATAGTTTCAAAGACATTTCCTGATCTAAAAAAGAAACAGAATGGCAGGCAGGCAAAAATAATGGGAGTGGAGGAGACTTTTGACTTCCTGCCATCTTCCCCATTGACTTTCCTTGTGGGAATCTGGCAGGGCTCATTGGAAACGATGATCACATGACCATGGATGACTGGCAGTGATACGGAAAATTTGGCCCTAACTTTGCCAAACTTCAGTCCTACAGTAGTTATGGGTTCCAGATTTTGGGCTCATTTTTTATAAGATAATCCATTTGAGTCACATTTTCAAAAACTGTTTCCCTACGATGCACTGTTTTATCCAATCGAAGGTTACAGAAGGAGAGTTTTGGTAGCAGATTCAATGTTTGCTAAAGTAGGTTTTAACTACTACAGCCATATACCAATAAAGAGAATCATACAGTGGTGCTGTACAGTTTAACAAATTTAAAAAGTCTAATTCTTGGAAAGATATTAGTGCATTTAACTTTTTGCTCTCGTTCTTTCTGTCCATAGGTTTATGCCCCTTCTGCAAGCACTGCCGATTACAATCGGGATTCGCCCGGCTATCCATCCTCAAAACCACCAGCCAGCACTTTTCCTAGTTCTTTCTTCATGCAAGGTAGGATGTTATCATAGAAGGGATTTTCTGATGCGTGTCCTTAAGGGTCAGTGGACAGGACGCTGAAGTCCTGAACTCAGTTCTTTGTTTTCAGAGTTTCCTGCCAGATGGACAATTCCAGGCAATCTTGATTTCTCTTTCAAAGCTAAGGGATAACATAGTAGCATGCCAGACAGATAAAGGACGATCAAGGCCACAAGACATATTGCGGATTTGAAAGGGATCTTTTAATAAACATTTTGTACAGTCGGTTTTGCTGCCAAATTCGAATTCACAATATGCAACATTGCTTACTTTGTTGCTCTTCCAAATGTTTACGGAAGAGAACATATTTGGTAGTGAAATAATAGTATTAGTGCCACTTTGAATTCAGACACACAGACTCCTACATAGATAATGTCCTCATGATTTGATGCAAACATAAATTGTTGGGCTTTTGGGATGAAATGGAGCTGTGCCTTACCCAGATCTTAGCATTCATTGGGAGGGATGGTAAACATGGAGAAAAATGTGTCCGTATGCCTCTTCCTCCCACTTGAAATTAAGGAGTTAGCCTACAGTGGTAAGTTCTGAAATGCAGCATTCAGAACTCTGAGCAGCAATGGAGCATAATAGTGCTCAAGAAATAACGATAGGTTTAATTTTCTCTAGTGGAAATACTTGATTACAGATATTTTCAGCAAGATCTGCAAAACAATTTGATGCATGCTGTAAGTCTAATCATATTCAGTGGGCCTTACTGTCCTTCGGCATGATTTGAATTGCAACCTTGAAGCCCTAGTGTTGGCTACACTCAAAAATATTTTGTATAAAAAGAGCTAATGGGATGAACGTGTTCAGTTCTTTGCATTCACTTCAAAGAATTACCTTATAATACTACCCTGTTTCCCCCAAAATAAGACATCCCCTGATAATAAGCCCAATCGGGCTTTTGAGTGCATGGCAATAAGGCCAAGCACTTATTTCAGAGTTCAAAAAAATATAAGACAGGGTCTTATTTTCGAGGAAACACGGTAGGTCAAATAGTTTGTAACAATATTCAATTGATAGAGCAATTAAATTGATCAGAAAAATCCAAGGTGTAATCAGTCACACATGGAGATGAGTTTTCACTCACCTTAAATAGAATTTCAGAAATGAGATTTTACATGTAAACCAATCATTGATGGAGAAAAAAAAGCGATATTAAAAAAACTTTATATTCCACAGCTGTATTTATTAATAATAATATTGCTTGAGCTCCATGAAAGTTCCACAAACCAACTTTTCTCATATGTCCATTGGCCATGCAGGGAGTTACAAATCAATACAACTGGAAAGAAACAGGTGGGAAAATTTGCAAGAATTTTAATTTGTCTCATCTAGTCTCATTGCCCTTCCTTATGGAATGGCTTCTTGTCTCTTAAATTAGGTGTGGATTTTATTTTTGTCCTTTAAATTGTAGGTCCTTATAGGGGAGGGGGTGGCATAAAAATGTAATAAGAAAATAAATTAAATAAATAAAAATAACTGCATTTTTCTTTGAATCATTTTTCCTTCATTGACTTTGAATTTTAAATCTTCTCAGTTATAACTAAGCTTCAAGTATAATTGGGAGCATTTGCCAATGCTTTTCTCCCTTTGAGTTTTTCTGATTCAGTTCATTTATTGTTATCCATTAGCTAAGTTTCATTTTGTAATATATGAACAGTGTTTTGTGTGTTTATGCAAACATACTTATACAACTTTTTACCACTAATACAGTAAAATTTTTTAAAAAATAAATCAAGATAGAAATCAATAGAATAATAAGACGGTTGGGGGGGAAACAAAAACAGCAAAGAAACCAAATTATTACCATGTTTCCCCAAAAATAAGACATCCCCTGATAATAAGCCCTCCCCTAAAATAAACCCTCTCCCCAAAATACCCCCCCCAAATATTTATATGCATGCACAGTCGGTCCCCGCCATTTCCTCTGGTTTAGAGTTAGGGAGACAGAGCTGGAAATCAGGTAAGATTGCAAGAGGAGCCCCATATTGCTCCACGCCCCAAAATAATAAGACCTCCCCGAAAATAAAGCCAACCACTTATTTTGGAGTTCAAAAAAATATAAGACAGGGTCTTATTTTCGGGGAAACACAGTAGAATTTTGGCTCAACCATATATAGGATATCACGTAAGGCAAAACTATTTTTGTAGATGTCTATGGAGATTCTCAGTCATCCAGGTCATGGTTGTCTCAAAGGTGCTTTTTTTCAAGGGGCGACTGGACTTTCTGGTTTTTCTTTGAAGATGTTTTGTTTTTCATCCAAGAAGCTTCTTCAGCTCTGACTGGATGGTGCGGAAAGGAAGGATTCTTTCATTCCCCACCATTCTATCAGAGCTGAAGAAGCTTCTTGGATGAGAAGTGAACCATCTTCAAAGAAAAACCAGAAAGTCCAGTCGCCTCTTGAAAAAAAACACCTTTGGGATATTTTTGTAGATATTTTAATTTCTCAGAAGTTTCTTGCTTATCTTCTCTGTTGCATCTCTGTAGAAAAGATATCAGACACTTTTATTAGCTGATAACTGATGTTATGAATGTTCTGGTAAATACTTTTTTCATTCCAGAGAATAACTTTTTCGTCACCTTTTACAGCAATCATTGTCACCTAATTAACTTGACAGGAAATAGGTTCAGAACCAACTTCATTAATGAATTAGAATTCATTTCGATCAGATGTGTTGATAGTTCCTAACCTTAGCTTGACATACAAATACAACAGAGTGAAAAAGGATGGCCAGAAGTAGAACGATAAACTGTATGATTTCATGTCAGGCTTTTAAAAAAAATGAATATTCTTTATGAATAAAACTTACTGCAAGCAGGAAAATTACCAATAGCAGAGATGAAATATAATATCTTTTTAAAACAAAATGATTAGGGGGAAAAACAAAAATAAAATTTAAATAAACAGTTTTTTGTGGGACTTATTCACATAATACTTATTCACTAAACTTATCCCGTAATAACCCATTGTGTTTCATTCAGGGGTACTAGCTTTAAATGTTGTGTTTCTTTTGCTGCTTCCTTTTGTTAAAGTGTAGAAGGTTTGTTTACCACTATTGTTCCCAACATTTATTCATTGCTTGGCGTTTTAGAGACTGACTCTGAGTAGCTTACAATCCCTACATATAGTATTTAGAATTAAAGCCCCCAAAATGTAACTTAAACAAAAATAGTTCATAATCTACAACATCACCAGTATCATGTCAGCTTCATATTACCTCCTGGGTCTACTTTCCTGGGAGTAAAATGCAGCCTTTCATAAGAAAAGGAAGAGGAGACATAAACAATCAAAAGACAGCAGCTTATCATATAAACAAGGATTCAGCCCAGGTGGCCAGAAATTTAGGAAGAAGCACTTCAGATACTTCAAAAAGACTCCACCTTAATGAAAGCGCTATGAAGGAGGGTGGAAAATTTCTTTTGCAGTTTTTGACATTCTGTATATACCCCCAAACTTGCAATAAACAGAACTTGCTGAAATCTGTGTTTCCTTGATTTTGCCCAGCTGGTGGGGGACTGTGTCATGTTTCCCTCACTCTCAACTTTCACTGAAAGTTCAGAAAGAAGCAGAGATCAATAGTATTGAAGGTACATGAGAGATCCAGTAGGACCATGACAAGACATCGTTATAAGGCATCAACAATAGCAACCAATGCAATCGCATTCCAACTTCCAACATATCAGAATCCTAACTGAAAAGTGTGCTATCGCTTCTTATTCCCCAAGTTTGGTTTTCCAGTCTCAACAAAGTACCTCTTTTCAACTGTTGGCCAAATTTGCCTTCATGGTCCCCAGTCTATATCTTGATAATAATGGAACGTGGACACTTTGCTGTTCTTACTGCCATCCTGTATGTTTGAAGTTGAGTTTATAAATATTTTCAGTCGTATTTTCTCTTGTATGTAATTGTCACCCTAGGCATCCCATGTACTGCTTCATCTCCCAAAGCTTCTCAGTGGAGGATGGAGCCCCTAGATGGAAAATAGAAGAGGCTCCTTATGAACAATCTTGCTAAGAGGCACAGCCACCTCCATATTTCAAGGTTCAATTAGAACCCAACCAAGACCACAAGAAAGTCCTCAAGCATCCTCTAGAAATCACATGTATCCATTAGATATCCAAGGCAGACCAATCAAATGGCTAGATTCTCCTTGCAGTGGTCAGTGGTGCAAGGAAAGTCCATGTTGGAAGTTTCTCAAAAGGCAGAACATTGATATAAAAAAAAAATATTATCCCACTATATTGAAACAGCTTTATGGAAATTTATAATTAATGTGTCTATCAGTAACTGTTAGCCATGTTAGCTAAATGAATTCAGTTATAATCTATATAGTGATTAGAGTATTTGAATCTAATGGACAAGCTTCCATGTAGATGCTCATTTAATTAGCCAACTCAGTGTTGCTCATTTAATTAGCCAACTCAGGCTTTGGGCAAGTTACTATTTCTTAGTCTAACCAAAGATATATATTCTGTTGTTCTGATGAAAAAAATAAATGGAAGGGGGGATTAGCGTATGTTACTGAATACCAGGTAATTAGAACAAATAGCAATGGGAAGCTATCACTTTCACATCATCTTTGTAATCTAGCCAAGGTATATCTCACTGGTCACTCTTGGGATGAGTAATCTTTCCAGAACTTTAATCAGAACCAGCAAAACATCTTGCACAGTTTTTTTTTTATTTTTTTAAAAAATGGGAGATCAGTTTCTTTAATGCTGATCAGGTTTACACACTATGGACTTCAAAGGGAATTCCAGCTTTAAAAATTAGAACGTGCTAAAAGTATCACACTTCATACACATTTTGGAAGTGATGCCTCTCAGTGGGCAAACATATACCAGTTACATTATACGGAATGACAAAAGTACAGATAGTCCTTGACTTACAACAGTTCATTCAGTGACTGTTCGAAGTTACAACGGCACTGAAAAAAGTGATTTACGACTGTTTTTCGCACTTACGACCGTTGTAGCATCCCCCGTGGACATGTGATCAAAATTCAGATGCTTGGTAACTGCTTCATATTTGTGACGGTTGCAGTGTCCTGGGGTCATGTGATCACGTTATGCGACTTTCTGATAAGCAAAGTCAATGGGGAAGGCAGGTTCACTTAACTACCGTGTTACTAACTTAACAACTGCAACTGTGTTAAGAACTGTGGCAAGAAAGGTCGTAAAATGGAGCAAAATGTTTCACTTAGCAATATAAATTTTGGACTCAATTATGATCATAGGTTGAGGACTACCTGTATACTTTTAAAGAAATTGCACCCATTTTTCTGTGCTAGAGGAGTCGGTTATATCCCAGCTACATTTATTGTTGGTCAGCTCCTTATTTAAATTTTAGATGGTTACCGCTTTATCCAGTCAAAATCTTTTGAGAAAATTGTTTCATGCTGCCCATTATGACCCAGTGTTTTGATATAGATTTATTAAAGATAGAGAGTAGACATGGATTGATGCTTCCAACTTAAAGTTAAAGATTACTTTCTGTATAGCCTAGCTCCCTCAGTGCTTGCTAACAGTTTGCTGTCATTAAAGTAGAGATCAAAGAGAAGATGCTTCAGATTTGTCAATTGTTGATTTGAGTTTTGGGTTATGTTCAAATAAATTTGCAGCAAGGCAGAAACTATTAGATTCCAATGACCAGACAGAGCTTCACATTTGACCCACAAATATGATATGCAACCATACTTCCAACTTTTAAACTGTATTTATGCTTCCTTGATTTAATTTCCTTCAAGGATATTGGAAGGCAGCTTCAAGAACATCCCCCAGAGTCTTAAATTTTACCCTTGTGGCTTATACCATTGAAAGTTTGACTTTATTGTACTTTCCATGTGGACAAATATAACTGCAGAATATTCTTGGATTGCCAGATAAGTAGTACATTAGATAGCTTCTGGATAATCAAAACTCAAATAACACACTCCCGATTGTTTTGTTAATCTATGAAACCAGGCACCAATTTATTGTCAAGAAGAAAATAGCTGTGTTTATGCCTTATCTTAAAATAGCTCATAATGTATTTTACTCTAAAATTGATTGCAAATTAATGAGTTCAGTTTAGTTGATCCTTGTATTTCGATCTATAACCATAATACCATAATGAAGTTTTAGTTTTCTATCAACTCTTCCCCTAAACCAATTATCTGAGTTCAAAAAAATAAGGGTTCATCAACTGAAAAATGGAAAAGACAAAATTCCGGAGACAAATTTCTTTTTAAGTTTAAATATGTATCTTTTCCAATTAGCTCTTGTGGGTAAATGTCTGTCTACAGGAAAACCCAAAGGTGCTTTTTCAAGAGGCAACTGGTATTTCTGTTTTTTCTTTGAAGACGTTTCAGAGCTAAAGAAGCTTCTTGGATGAGAAGTGAAATGTCTTCAAAGAAAAAAAAAATCAGAAAGTCCAGTTGCCTCTTGAAAAAGCACCTTTGGGACAACCATGACCTAAATGACTAAGAATCTCTACAGGAAAAGTTTCTGAGCATCTCCCTAAATCATAGATATCTCTGTTCTGATTCATAAATATTTTATATATGACATTGGGATATGAAGTTGGCCAACAAGTCAAGTCCTGGAATCAAAATATTTGTGTATTTATGTGCTAAAATAAAACCCCAGAATCTACTTAGACTCTTATTTAAATGCTCTTTAAAAAAAAACATGTTAGGTTCCAGTTTTATCAAGCAAGGATTAATAACAATATAGGTCACAACTATGTGGGCTTCTGATAAAAATAGAACAAATGTTTTAAAAATTGCACAAAATATCTCTGACTAATTGGTGGTGATTTCAGAAATGTCATTTGCACTCCTGTTTAGAAAACTTTTTTAAAAAAATCATGCTCATGTAGTTCCATAAGATTAGTGTGCCTCCTATATGACGAAGGATGATAACACGGTTTCCCCACTTGTGATTGCTGTCTTTTATTGTAAACTGCTATCCAACACTGTGACACGTAAGGCGTTCATCAAACCCCGTTAGAATGCTAATTTTAACATTTACTGAAAACACAACCTCAGAATGTTAGTCAGAGAACTGAGTGTTCAGAGAAGCTACATTTTCTTCTGTACGTTTTTCAGACGGCCACCATAGCAGTGATCCGTGGAACTCATCCAGTGGAATGAATCCTCCTGGATATGGAGGCATGTTGAGCAATTCATCTCATCTTCCACAGTCCAGTAGCTATTGCAGTCTTCATCCTCACGACCGCTTGGTAAGGCTACTACCTCAGCACTACATGTCAGTCTGTGTGCGCCACAAATATAGAAGATAAAACTGTTAAACCAATTTAAACCACTTTTCTCTCACTCATGTTTATCTCTGTTGGAAGAGAAGAACCATGGATTTCACTGCTTAAAAGAAAACCATTTGACAAAAGCAGAATTACAAATGAAGAAATCTGGTGTCTTTTCATGGACAACACGCACAGAGAGAGAGAGAGGCAGACACCTCTGTACATTTCATGGTTTAAAAATAAAATCTCTTTTTTCCCCACATGTGTGAGACTTTAAATCCTAATTGCAAAACGAGGAGGAGGCCAAGCAGAGCTAACTCTATACAGCAGAACCCTGTCTTGAGGACGCTTTCTTTTTTTTTCTTTTTCCTTTGAAGACGCTTCTTTGCGTGACAATCTTTAAAACGGCCTCCCCTGACATAAATGTGAACAATTTTTACAGCCTTACAATGAAGTTTTGTTCTTTGATCCGCTGTTCTTATGTTCTGCTGGGCTTCTGGTACAGGTCATGCTGTACCTTAATGCCTATGGGTCTCTCAGCTACATATCAAAGATTTTAAGATGAAACAAGGGTTCAACCCCCCAAAAAGTCCCCCTGGGACAGTGGTCTGCAACCTTAACCACTCAAAGGCTATTTGGACCCGTTTCCCACAGAAAAGAAAACACAGGGCACCACAAAGCCTGAGTGGGCGTGGCCAACTTGATGTCAATCACTTCCACCAGTCACATGATTCCCCCCACAAGCCACGCCTACCCAGCCAGTTATTAGGAGAGAGAACCGGTTGTTAAAAAACACCAGGAACTACAAAACCCTTTTGACATCTCTGTCTCTCCCACCCTCTCTCTCCCCCTCTCTCTGTATCTCTCTGTCTCTGCCCTGGCCACTTCTCCATCCCCCGCCGTAGCCCTTCTCAGTCCAGGTGTGACTGGGAGGGGAGGGCGAGGGGCAGGGCCAGCCAGTGGTGGGATCACGCAACAGGGAGCCACAGCAGGGGGCCCAGAGAGCCGCATGTGGCTCCAGAGCCACAGGTTGCTGACACCCGTCCTGGGAGATGTCACTGAATTGATTTTTTATAGCCTACTTTTCCATCCAAGCTGGATGATCAAGGTGGTTTACAGGCAGTAAGAGATCTCCTAAAAGTAGTGGTTCATTGTACAATGAACCATCTTTATGGGACATCATTCCCCCAAGGTACAGTTGGCCTGCATCCTACTGCTTTTCCGAAAGGCCCTAAAAACGTGGTTTCGTGAGCAGATCTGGGGATCACAAATGGAGATGGAGCCGATCAAATGGCTGATTTGATTGTGTTGTTGCTGCTATGGAAGGTGGAAGGTGGGGGGGTTAATAGGTTTTATGGATTTTTAAAATTTTTGAGGCTGTCCAGAATCACCTACATGTGAATTATATAAATTTGATGAGTGAGTGAGAAAATCAGCAACTCTGTACAACCATCACCTGCTAATTGAAATGTTATCTTTCCCTGCTATGTGCCACAGAGCTACCCATCACACTCCTCCGCAGACATCAATTCCAGTCTTCCTCCAATGTCCACTTTCCATCGCAGTGCCACAACCCATTACAGTGCTTCTTCCTGTACACCTCCGGCAAATGGAACAGAAAGTATAATGGGTGAGTTGTAGGGTTCTTACCGAATTGAAGAAGGCAGATCCTGTCAGTTTCTCCTCATCTGTTATCTGGAGAAAGAGCTTGTGGAGCTAATCAGATATCATAGAAGAAAACTTTGCTTTTCATGTAGTCACAGATTAAAAATAATATTTGGTTGGAGTTCTTGCTATACTGACTGGAAACTCAGGTCAACAAGAGTGTAGGATTAGAGTTTGATCTGCGAATAATCCAGCCCCTTTTATTTGCCTGGTCTGATTTTGCTCTCCAAGAAAGTAAACTTGTATTATTAAATTTCATTCTTGGCTGCTATCTCAAAGTTAACTTGCAATCTGGAAAAGGACAGAAAGTTGAAGAGAAAATAATTGTTAACTGGTGATATCCTAAGAGAAAATTGCAGACCAAGCAAAAGGAAATTGTCTAGGGGGATATTAAAACAGAAGCACTTGGGAGCAGTTGGTAAGGCACCAGGCTAGAAATTGGGAGACTGTGAGTTCTAGTCCTACCTTCGACATTAAGCCAGCTGGATGACCTTGGAACAGTCACTCTCTCCCAGCTCCAGGAAGAAGGCAAGGGCAAACCATTTCCAAACATTTTGCCAAGATAAGTACAGGGACCAGTCCAGGCAGTCGCCAGAAATCAACACGGACTCAAAGGCATTAAAAAAAAAAAAATCTGGAAGATATTAACTTAAGCGATGCTTCAGTCTATGCAAAGTATTTTCTGTGTGTTTTCAAAGATTCAGAGCCTTTAAGCAGCCACTTACTAAGAAAGATTTAATGTAGCATATGCTAAAGATTAGTCCAGAAGATCTGCCTCATTCATGTATTAATCCCACTTTCTACTCTCACTTTAAATGACATTTTTGAATTGCAAGATACATAGCAGTATGTGGCTTTTTTAGTGGGAACATGATGTGCGCCTTCCCTTGAAGCCTTGGTTTTACTGTGATTTTATTATGGGAACAGTCACATAATACTGCACTTAATTTTTTTACTAGTGTGTTAAGCTTCCAGTGCAGTGGGGTGCTAAACTGTCATATGGCACAAGAGGGACATGAATTTTATCCTGCTGTGTCAGTACATCTTATCTGAGGAAAATATCAAATTGGCTCAATTTTTCTATTTCCCGAATGTACTTGTTGCTCCTATTCAAGTTAGAGACTGGTGAACAGGCTGAATGTTGCATTTATTAATTGAGAGTAATCCTCTATTTTATTTTATTTTTTGTTTGGTATAGCTAGCTCTAGATTGCAAAACCATTATATTCCTGCCAGTGAAGACTGTGAAGCACGTATAGGACAATTTTTATGTAACCTTGGCATATACAAAAGATTTCATACAATTATAAAAAGGGCATCCACAAACAAATCCATTAATGCAGATGATTATTTAGACATTATGCCAGAAACATGGGGATTATAATTATTGTAATATCACCTTTATAATTTCACCCTTATGAAAATAGTTGCATTTAACATTCTGGTATAGGGGTGGGGTGGTTTTTTTGGTACGTTTAAAAGGATGGGATTAATTATTAGCTCCCTCATGCTATGGGTTTGATGATGTTATTTGAGTTGGACAGAACACAAGGCTTGAGATCTCACCATTAGTTCATAAAGGTAAAGTCTTTGAGTTGAGCTCTGTTTCTGATGAGTTCATAGACAAATGCACACAGTTTTCTTGACCCCCACACCATTGGCATTATGTGTGGATCACAATGGGATCACTCAAATGATGTTTGAATTATCTTATGCAAAGCCATCTGCTAGCTTTGCATGTTACATGAAGCAGTGTAGTTGAATGTAGTCTGGAATCACAGGAGAAAGGGGCTTTTTCCCAGAGGGCAAAGAGGCAAAGGACTTAGAATGTCTGAATGGTGGACAGGAAGAGAACAAGGTCAGACACTCCCAAGCAGTTCACAGAATATACTTATGGCAGATAATTGCTTTAGTTTGGCAAGATTATGTTTGTAGGCCAGCAACAATAAAGGAAATACCGTATTTTTCAGAGTATAAGACACACTTTAGTTTTTGGGGAGGAAAATAAGAAAAAAAAATTCTGCGTCTGCCTACCAGCATCCATCAGTATTCATCTGGCTAGCATCCTTAGCAAACAGCCTGGTCAGTTTCAGCACATTAGCCTGTTTCAGCACGAGCAGCTGATTGGCGGGTAGATCTCTCGGAATACCCCCAGTCAGCTGTTCCTAGAGGTGAACTTTAGTAACAGGTTCAGTGGTTGTGAGCGAACTCACTAGCTACGCTCACACGCGTCTCATTGAGGCAGATACGCAGCTTCAAAAATGCAGCTAATCATCACAGGGCACTCCAGTGAGTACAGCAGGCGAAGCGTACTTTCTGGGTTGCCATTTTGGCCTCTGCGCCTTGCTTTTTCACCCTCCAAAAGCTCTGTTTGAGAGGACGTATGGAGGCCGGCAGGTGGGCAGGGCTACATTCAGTGTATAAGACACACCCAAATTTTCACCCTCTTTGTGGGGGGGAAGGGAAAGTGTGTCTTATACTCTGAACAATACGGTACTCAGAAGTAACTCCATGTGTTGTTCTTGGTTCTGAAAAGTGGGCTGTGAAATTTATTTATTTCCTTATTCGATAATATCTTGTGTTTTGTACTGGAGCTCAAGGCAGCACCCCCTCCCCCCTCATATTTTTCCTCACAATATCAATTCTATAAAGTCAGATATTCCCAATGAGAGATTATTTCAGATTTTCAGAATGACTTATTTGGAATAATTTTGATCCAAGTTTTAAGCAGGCAATGGAGATGGCTTTGAAGAAGGGGTTCAAAAACTGTTGTGCAAACCTCTGCTTAGCCCAGATAGGCAGGAGGGGGTGAGGGGGAAAACTCAAGATCATCGTGTTTGGTTTCTCCTTTAGTATAAGAGGAGATCAAGTAAATCTCAATTGGGATTTCAATATTCTGTTGTTGTACCTTCTAATGATAATAATTCTAATAATTCTTGTGGCCTTTGCTTCCTGATGTTATCTGCCTCAAAGGACTGACAATAAGACATCTGGCTTCCTCAGCATGATTAAATATAGGATAGAGGCAATGAGTAAGTCTTTACTTTGAGGTGGACACAATATAGAATTGTGCTGATTTCAGTCTCCTATCTCTATACGTTTGAAAGCAGTTGAATAAGGGCGTCTGTTCTTTAGCCAAAAGAGAATGGCAAAATAAAACAGATTTTAGGGTGCTTTGCAGTTCTCTTCTTGTAAAATGCTAGGTTAATACTGTACAAAGACCCACTGCTCTGTATCTCACTCACCACAGAAAGAAGACTAGATTGAAATAGCTTGCAACAAAAACATTTTGAACATGAAATATGAGAGGTATGTTTGAGATGTAAGAAATCCACCATAATTAATAATAGTAATGCTAATTACAATTTGTATAACTCACCTTTAAAATGCAGCTGAATTATGGAAATGGGCGCAGTGTATGGAAAACAGATTTATTTTCTTGTCTTCATGTATTTTTTTGTTTTCTTTTGTTTTTGGGTTTGTTTTTCAGCAAACAGAGGAAGCGGAGCAGCCGGAAGTTCACAGACAGGCGATGCTCTGGGGAAAGCACTTGCATCTGTAAGAAAGGATTTGCTTTGGATGATTTGAGTAGCATGAACTTGGGTTGGAATCAATAACCAAATATGCACAAATCTATCGTGGCCAGTTAAAATAATTTAGAATAAAAACATGTTAAGATTCAATACATAGCTCTGGAAAATCTAGATAATTCGAGATAAATTCTTAATTGCAGGCTGTGCTTTATAGTTTTCCATTCACTTGGAAATCATAAGAAGCAACGTGATTTAGTAGCCAAGCCCATCCTATAGTGGTTTCCTTGTCTCATTTGAAGCCTAAACCATATTTAAATCAATTTTACTTACAGGTGGTCCTCACCAGGGGTGAAATGCTCCCGGTTCGGACCAGATTGCCCGATCCGGTAGCGATGGCGGCAGGTAGTTCGGAGAACCGGTAGCAAAAATCCCTGCCCCCCCCCACCCCCAGCTGAGCCACGCGATCATAGAGGCTTTTTTTTTTTTACCTTTAAAAGGATTTTTCCTACAACCTCTTCAGCTGAAAAAATGCTTTTAAAAGTAAAAAAAAAAAAAGCTTTTGATGATCACACGGCTCAGCTGGGATCATTTTAAAGGCTTTTAAAAGCATTTTTTTCTCCAACCTCTTAAGGTTGTAGAAAAAATGCTTTTAAAAGGGAAAAAAAAAGTTGGCCACACCCACCCACTCTCATTACCCCACCACCAAGCCACACCCACAGAACCGGTAGTAACAAATTTTACATTTCACCACTGGTCCTCGTGTTACGACTGTAATGCCCATTGTGGTCATAACAGTCGTAAAGTGGGTCATTTAGCAAACTCTTCCATCATAAAGCGAACCCATTGTTTACTTTGGCATGTTTTTGTGAAAAAACAATGCTGGTTTTCTGCAAAGCCACTGTGAAACAGGCCACAAGACACTGCAAACAGGCATAAATGCAGACAGGTTGCTCAGCACCCAAAGTGCAGTCACACAATTGGGGGAGCAGGTACCATCAGAACTTCAGATCCAGGTCATAAATCCTCTTTTTCGGATCAGTTGTAACATCAAAGGGTTGCTAAGGGACTAGTCATAAACCATGGACTACCTGTACGTATTTTCATCCAAAGAATGCTGGGAGTTTATATCATGTAAGGATGTTAAACTTTCTGATTCAGATGCATATTTTACATCATAGAAACAGGTTGTAAAGTTCTTTGGGACAAAGCCACGACCATATTTAATCTGGATAGATCGAATAATTTGAATAGCTCCATCAAATATGAATTGCTGTACATTTATGTTAGAGACTGGATGGGCAGTATTCAAAAGTTATCCCTATCTCAATGCCAAATTGCTTCAACTGTGTCTTTCAAAACTCCCGTTAGTAAAGGGGAGTAAATCTCACTGAGGTGGGATAGGATTTTGAATTTTGAATTTCCCTTTTTAGCCTTAAAAGCCTTTGGGCAGCTCCCTAGTTTGAGGAACCTGCTTTTTTATGCATAGTTCCTTGGAGATAATAATCCACCCATGTGGGTAAGGGACCAAGCTTATGAATCTTTTCCACAGAATTACCACTTCCTGGTGGGATGGTGAATCTGTAATCAGAAACTGTATCATCATTCTCAGTTCACATCTTTCAATAATTTGGATGATATACTATCTGCTTAGGCGCTACACATGGGAAAGCAGGCTCCCAGAAGTCAGGGTAAAAAGATCAAAGGGCCTCTCAATCTGTTTTGCTGCAGTGATTGATATTTAAAAGCCAGCCTTGACTTCCAATTGCCACCCATTCTATTTATTTCCCATCTCCGATTTAGGTAAGGATCCATTAAGTATACCGTGTTTCCCCAAAAATAAGACCCTGTCTTATATTTTTTTTAACCTTGAAATAAGTGCTTGGCCTTATTGCCATGCACTCAAAAGCCGAATTGAGCTTATTATCGGGGGATGTCTTGTTTTGGGGAAAACAGGGTATATACAGTGCATTTCTACAAATTAAAACTTACGTTGACTTTTAAATGAACTCTCACTGTAATGTATTTTCTGGGCAGAGTGGGGTTCCAGTGAGTTCTCATGAGAATTTATGTTTTCCGTGTCCAGCTAACATATATTACAAAGACAAAAATTAGCACAACTCCCAAATAATGGATACAGTACAAAATCTACTTTAACTGGTGCCTGGAGGCATTGGTTAACTGAGAGATGATCAAGGGGTTAATTAATTTAATTGCCTTTGCAGAACCCTAAGGAAAAGTTCACGAGCCCAGTTTAAATAGTGGCCAATATGAATTCCCAGCATGGTCTGCTTTGATAATTTGACAAGATAAGAGTCTAATGATGTTTATGATTTCTAATCAGGTCCCAAATGATCACAGAAGTTTTATCTATTCAGGGTATTAAGTAGATAAACCCTTGAGAATCTTAACTAAGAATTCTAATATACTTACTCAGCCATGTATATGCAGTTGTACAAACCAGTCAGGATTATTTTTTCCATCTTCTATTTTGTAGAGTTTGCTTTAATAAGTATTTTTCACTATTCTATATTTCAATATTTTCTTCTCCAAAACTTTTATTCCTATAATAATTTAAGATGTTTAGCTTAAATTGAAGTAATATTCTGTTTCCCCCCCTCCATTTATATATACAGTATGCATATTTTAGAACTGTAGAATCTACTATGATAATTAAATCTAAGAGATTTTTAAAAAAAACCTCCCACAAGTCGCCCTTCATCACAATTACTAGTATCTTATTTCTTCATAATGTTTTTTGTCTTAGTGGTTTCATATTCTTCATAGCATCCTTTTCATCTTATGAGTCATAAGTATAAGTTTATTTATAATGAATAGTGGCAATCCTCTGTCTGTATCCATTCCAAGTGACTTTAGATTAATTCTGTATCATCTTTTAAAGATTTACTCTCCAGATCATACCAACAACAGCTTTTCATCAAATCCTTCAACTCCTGTTGGTTCACCCCCTTCTCTCTCAGGTATAGTGGTTAAAATTATATTTTACCAAGTAGTTAATTTATGAAATAGCAAGAAAATCTTTAAAATAATGGTTTTAAGCTTGATCAGAAAGTTCAGTTGTCTAAGAAACCATTTCAGACTGCCAACTTTCAACATTTCGGAGCTTAATACCGGTAGTAAAATAAAAGTATTGCATGAAGATCTCTAGGAAAGTCTTAGAAAGTCTTATGTCCTACTGTACAATTGTGTAAACTGGTTCCAGGGAGCAGGCTAATATGTTCAGGTATGCTTTATAACTCAAGGCTGAGCTTGCATAGTAAACAACCCTGATGCTTGAACACTCAAATTGGTTTCTGAACATCCCATCTGTAGACCATTTATTTTGTTTTCTGAATCCACACATTAATGGCATGGACATTACACAGTAGTTTAATCAACACATGCAGAAAGAAGAATTTAAGAATTATTGCAAATGCAACAATATGCAATTATTGCAACAACAATAGGCAACTATTATTATTACTTCCCCCAAAGGTTTAAGGAAATAGAATATAAAATACATTGGGTTGGACCTAACATTAGTCAATACATTTATCAGTTTGTCATGACACAGAAATTTTAATCTGAATATATATATAAATCTGAATCTATTACTTCTTCCAAGCTCTTCCTTTTGAGGAAATATGAATTGCTAAAAGGAAAGTGAGACTATTTCTAATACATGGTCTCTTCTTCCATTATTAAGTTCTTCCTATATCATCATCCAACCTGTTCCAAGGGTGATCTCATGGCAAAAACAAAGCATTCCTACATGGTACTGGAGAATAAATGCCAAGGTTAAAGAGGTTGAATATTTAATTCATGAGTAAACAAGACTTTAGGGATTTAGCAGGCAGCCATAACATCGTGTACACTACATTTTCCAATCTAGCAAGCTCACAGCCTTACTTCCTGCAGTTCAGACAGGCAGGAAGAGGGGCGTTACTATCAGTTTTTATCTTATCAGCAAAAAGAATACCAATTGAAGTTCAAGACAGAAAAGTCTGTCTTGTGTCTGGAAAGCATTTCAATTTCATGCAGCAAAGTTTATATGGCTGAGGGAATGATTGTGTGCATATGCTAACGTGTATATGTGTGTGTGTGTGTGTGTGTGTGTGTGTGTGTGTGTGTATGCATCATAAATAAATAGAGAAGAAAAGAAAAATATCCTAAGGCTATCTAAGTTAAACAGTTATTCCATAGGACATATTTAATGTCAACAATGTAATATCTTGACAGCAGAGATTGAGATGAACTGTTCTGTCCGTTTCCAAAATGATGCTATTTTTGTTATTATCCCAGAGTGATAAACCTTCATCTAAGAACTAAAAGGACCTCTGGATGGTTAATCACTTAATTTCGATTTGAAAGTTAATATTTTGCTTTCGTGTATCTTAATCTTGCTCAAGCAGGAATTATGATGTGTTGGAACAACAGGGTGTGGCTATTGATTGGCTAGGAATGTTGGGAATTGTAGTCAACTACAGGACCCCAAGTTAAAGAAGACTGATATATGTCCCAGTGATTCTTCTTGATGAAAAAAAGACCATAAATGGGCTAGGAAAAAGTCTTCTGTCTTCATAGTTATTCAGTATTAGCAGGGGTGGGCTGCTCGGGGTTTGCAGGGGTTCGGGAGAACCTCTAGCTAAGATTCTGTGCAGGTCGGAGAACCCCCAAATCCCACTCCTGGCTGGCCCCACCCACCCCACCCCTTCCAGGAGTCCCCATGCAGCCTGTTTTGGATGCAGGTAAGTGCAGGGCACGCACGGAGCCTCAGGGAAGGCGGAAAATGGGCCTACCAGAAGTTCGGGCCCATTTCCAGCCTCCAGAGGGCCTCCGAAACCTGGGAGGCTGTTTTCGCCCTCCCGGAGGCTTGAGAAAAGTCTCCAGAGCCCGGGGAGGACAAAAATGCCCCCCCTCACTGTAGTGCAGGAGGCCAATTAGGCCACGCCCACCATGGCCACATTCACCCAGCAACCGGGCAGATAATTCTTTGCTAAAATTTTTGAAGCCCATCCCTGAGTATTAGTGAATTATTTTACCATACACAGAAATATCTTTTCCAATATCTAAATGATTATACTTCATGAACACATTCTGTAAGAAGAGAGTTTTCAAAACTCTACCTGATCCTAAAAAGCTAATATATTATACTATTGACACTTGTATTTTATTCTTTTTTTAAAAAGTAATAAATATGATGTTAGTTCATAGTTCATAAAAGTCTTAAATAAAACAGAAGAGGAAACAACCTCTATCAATTACAAGAATTTAGAGTTTACATTTTTAGAACCCTTGTAGGCAAAATGCTTCAGCTAATACATTCAATGCAAACATTTAAGCAAAAACTGCACTGCATGCAGACCAATAGACCAGCCAACAAACCTGCCATAGATTTTTCTCTGATAATAATAAATGAAAATTATTGAGAATGCCTTCTGCTATGGTTATGCTAGCAGCATCTTGCTACAATTCTTTTATATTTATTTTTTAAAAAATAGGAATTTCCACTTGCTTTCTGCAAAATAGATGAAATCTTATATGCTGGCATGCAATTTGGAGACATGATGTGGCTTCTGGGTGGGGCTGCATAATAAATATTTGTTTTCAAAGTTCTGCACAAGAGATGTGGTTTAATATGACTGCTGGGAAATCTTATGTACATATCTACGGTATTATTCAGTGTCTTTGAAAAGACATTTTGTTTGCATAGTTCCAATTGTAACTCCCATTTTACTATTAGCAGGAACAGCTGTTTGGTCTAGAAATGGAGGGCAAGCATCATCATCTCCCAATTATGAAGGTCCCTTACATTCTTTGGTATGTTTTTCGATGGGGAATTACTACCTGTTAATATCTTATTGCTGTCTACTTCTCTTTCTTATCCATTTTTCTAACAGAGCACAACACTAATTAGTGCACTCTTTTCCTGATCCTTTCAAATAGGAGATCCACCCATAAAGCACAACAGATTTCTATATACACTTTTTCATAAGCTAATCAGCAATACTAAATATCTATGGAGATTCTCAGTCACAGTTGACCTGGATAACTGAGAATCTCCGTAGACATTTAGCTAATCAACAATGATTATGTAGTAAAATGCCACGCATGGAAATAGGGCATATGCTGCCTAATATGAACTCTGTAAGGTTGGAATCCATATATGTAGAAGAAAAACAAGAAGAAGATAAAACTTTAAGTTTGCTTAAAAAGCAAAATCAAGGAGTAGCCTAATCAGGGAATATAAATATAGTATTTTTTTTGGGGGGGGGGGGGGGGGGGACTACTTTCTTAGATTGCCTTGCTTAGCCAGGAAGATGATCAAGCCTTAACTGTATATGGAAAAAAAAGATAACATAATAAGCTATTCCTAATATTTATTTCATGAACGCGATAGCTCAATGGCTAAGACGCTGAATTTGTTGATCAAAAGGTCAGCAGTTAAACTGTTCAAATCTCTAGTGCCGCGTAACGGGGTAAGCTCCTGTTACTTGTCCCAGCTTCTGCCAACCTAGCAGAAAGCACGTTAAAAAAAAATGCAACTAGAAAAATAGGGACCACCTTTAGTGGGAAGGTAATGTGCCTTTAGCATTTAGTCATGCCGGCCACATGACCACGGAGACATCTTCGGGCAAAGCTGGCTCTTCAGCTTTGAAACGGAGTTGAGCACCGCCCCGTAGAGTTGGGAACGACTAGCACATATGTGCGAGGGGAACCTTTACCTAATATTTATTTCATCAGTTTCAATCTGTTACGTATATGAATAATGTGCATGCCCTGTAACATTCTCAATATCTTTTATAACCATAGAGGAGATAATGTACTGCTGTTATGGAGAGCATCTTAGCCAGGGGTGAAATGTAAAATTTCCTACTACCGGTTCTGTGGGCGTGGCTTGGTGGAGGGGTGTAATGTGACTGGGTGGGTGTGGCCAACTTTTTTTTTTATTTTAACTTTTCAAAGCATTTTTTCTGCAAATGCAAAAAAATGCTTTGAAAAGCCTCTGCTGATCAGGAACACATCTGGGATCATCAGAGCCTTTTCAAAGCATTTTTTAAACCACCTCTTCCGCTGAATAGGTTGCAGAAAAAAATGCTTTAAAAGTCTCTCTGATGATCCCAGCTGAGTTGCCTGATCATTTTAAAAAATGCTTTGAAAAGTCTCTCTGACGATCAGGCAACTCAACTGGGATGTCAGAGAGACTTTTAAGGCATTTTTTTCTGCAACCTCTTCCGGGGAAGAGGTGGTTTTAAAAAATGCTTTGAAAGGGCTCTGACGATCCCAGCTGTGTTGCCTGATCGTCAGAGAGACTTTTCAAAGCATTTTTTTAACCACCTCTTCCCCGGAAGAGGTTGCAGAAAAAATGCTTTGAAAAGCCTCTGAGATCCCAGCTGAGCGATGCTCATATGGCTCAGCTGGGCATGATGGGGATGGGGGATGCAGGGATTTTTGCTACCAGTTCTCCGAACCAACCGCCGCCATCGCTACTGGATCGGGCGATCTGGTCCGAACCAGGAGCATTTCACCCCTGATCTTAGCCTATATCAGTTCATCGAACTATATCAGTCTATGTAAACTATATTCTGCTACCAAGTGATATTTCCAAAACATCAGTATAACAGCCAATACCAATGGTAATATTTCTGGCAAGAGATAACCTTGTATTGGTGTTTTTCAGCCATGTATGCCCATCAAAAGTGCCAAGACTGCCTGTTAGAGCCTGTGGGCTTAATTAAAAATTCAAGTTCAGTTCGAATGTTGGGTTCCAGAATGAAGTCATGGCAAGAAGAGAGAACACCTATTTCCCTAGGTTAATGATAGTAGCTTGTTATTGGCCTCTTCCCCATAAGTCTTGTAGTACAATTATAAACATTCAAAACTGGCCAAAATGAAATGAATAATGCCTTCAATGTAAACCTACTGTACAAAGAGTCACTCAGCTAGTGTCGTGACAAAAGATGCCTTAGATTTGACTTCCTCAAAGAATACGTTTCCACAAATGCCCCCAATGCCATGTGAGAAAATATTTTTGAAGCGAAAGTTAGAAGCTTCAGTTGTACAATGGTCCTAATATAGAAGCCACATTCAAAATAAGAAAGGAACATCACCATTTCCATTAAGTGAAAATTAAGTAGTGTTTTTTCCACTGAGCATTGCGTAATATATTAAATAAGTATGTTGACACCAGTCTTTTTTCCCATGTGGTTTCAGTAAGAATGATGTAGCCACTTCAGAAACATTCTTGAGAATTGTATAATGAAGAATTTTGGCAGAATATAACCAGACACATTGCTTTACCTTATATCATCTTAAGTCTCGCCCTTAAAAAAAAAAATGCCCGCCATAATTCTTTGCACTTTAAATAATCAGAAAATTATTGGTGATTTCAAGGGACTGTTTCTTAAAAAACCCTATGAGGGTTTGTTTGTATCGTAGACAAGGTTAGATAACCAGTGTTTCTTAACCTTAGGAACTTTAAGATGGGTGGACTTCAATTCACAGAATTCCCCAGCCAGCAATGTACTCATTTAACTTATTTAAATTGCTCTGATGTTCTGAAACCTGTTTAGATGTCTGTGCTGTAAATGAACAAAATACTGTATTTTTTCCTTACTCTTGTATTGGAATATATGTCCGAATGCAGGCTATTTTTGATCATAGAATTCCACATATCAATTTTCACAGCTCCAGTTAAAACCGTGAGAAGTAAATAAGCCGTGGATAAGAAGTTAGCATACAGAAATAATTTAATAGGTCATGGCAATTTGATATTTCTGACGCAAAATATTTCAGGATCCCAGGGCAACAAATGTCTTGTAAATGTTATGTTCATGAGGAGTCAGTGAACCTGTTTTGCCCATGAAAATGAAAACAGAATTTTTTTAATATGTTTTATTGATACATTTTTCTTTTATAAACATAAAAAATTCCATGTCTATTTGAACAGTGTGTTGTCTGGGCACCATTAATTTTAAATAAGTATAACAACAATAACCATAATCATACTAGTAATCTTAATACACGTCAATATTTTTAAAATGTTAAATATTATTTAATATTAAAACTGTATTAAAATAATAATACAGTTAGTTTATCCATCTTACAAAATTTTCAATACACATTTTTCTTATCTTTTTTGATTCTGGAAAACAGAATCTTCATAGAATCTTAGCAGGCTAGTTTTGGGGTGTCAGTTGTTTCATTTACAGTGTTTTGGTGAGCAAAGGAAAAAAATATATAAGCAAAATACTCTTAATAAATCTGTTTCTGAAGCAGATTCAGAAACAGCCCAGCTACAAGCAATCGTATTCGGCTTCCACTGCCTGACACATAACAGTAGCAGTGAAAAAAAAATATGTGATTCACCATTTATGTGATTTCTGCCCAAAAATAAGGCAATCTATTTCTGATGCTTTCTTATTTTTTTTTTTCATAAACTATCAGCAAAGCCGAATTGAAGACCGCTTGGAAAGACTGGATGATGCTATTCATGTTCTCCGGAACCATGCAGTGGGACCTTCAACTGCCATGCCTGGTAGTCATAGTGACCTCCATAGCTTAATAGGCCCTTCTCATAATGGAGCTATGGGAGGCCTTGGATCAGGATACGGGACAGGCCTTCTTTCAGCCAATAGACATTCACTAATGGTAAGCCATAAAGATTCAACGCTACGGATTTCTTTTTTTAAAAAAAAAAAAAAATAATGTTAAATAATGCATGATTGGGATGTTTAAGCTTTTTTTTTTTTAAACTAAGCTTTTAATTCCAGTACAATTTAGTGTTGCAGAAATGAAAGGCAGTGTAGTACTCCATGACAAAGCAAGCTACCTTTATTATTTCTATTGCATAAGCAATCATTACTGTTCTGCAGTGTATGTTAAAATGCATCTCTTGGCTTCTCTTGTATTGGTGATGGGTTTTTTGTTTCGTTTTTAGTTATAGAATTTATCATGCTTAGAATATGTTCAGCCCATGCTTTTAAAGAATCTGCTTAGCAAGAAGCTGCTAATCTGTTGCATTAGGTCTTCCTAAAATCTATCTCTGAAATATTTTTAGCTGAAATATATTTGGCTTCTTTCTATGTCTGGCGCAAATACGAGATGGGGAAAAATGAAAAAGAATATCCTTAGGTATGTTTCTAGAATTAACCTATCAGCTGAAGTCTGCAAACGGTGGGGAAAGTATGGCATTGGATAGGAGCTTAGTCCCCATCCATGCAAGAAGAGAAGAGGGAAAAGCAGGTATCGGCCTTCCCAGGCAGCCTAGACCAGTGGTCTGCACTCAAAGAGCTATTTGGACCCGTTTCCCACAGAAACGAAAACACAGGGAACCACAAAACTTGGGTGGGTGTGGCCAACTCGACATCACTCACTTCCACCAGTCACATGACCCCCCCCAGCCATGCCTACCCAGCCAGTCATTAGGGCAGAGAACTGGTTGTTAAAAAACACCAGGAACCACAAAACCCCTTTGACATCTCTCACCCTCCCACCCTCTCTCCCCCTCTCTCTCTGTATCTCTCTATGTCTCTCTCTCTCTCCCCCCTCTTCTCAGGCCAGGCATGACTAGGAGTGGAGGGCGAGGGGTGGGGCCAGCCAGTGGTGGGATCACCCAACAGGGCGCCACAGCAGAGGACCCAAAGAGCCGCATGCGGCTCCAGAGCCACAGGTTGCTGACACCCAGCCTAGACCATAAAATCAGTTAAGTCTCATCTATTATAAGGTTGCATTTACAGAACCTTGTAAGTCTGAAAGTACAAATCTCCCACCGTCACTTTTACAGACTGAGGAAAATAGGGAGGTTTCTTTCTGAGTTTTTTTTCACTGCCCTTTATGCAACCTCAGGATAGGCCTTCTTTTATCTGATCATTCCCGAGACAGCATCTCTTTCTCCTTCTTCCCAAGATCATTCCACACATCATTACAATATGTTATCGGCTAGGACAGTGATTGTGAACCTTTTAGGCCTGAGTGCCCAAATTGGGCACGTGCATGCCCAAACTGAGAGGTGTGCATGCATGCACGAACATGTGTGCATGTGCACGTGCAAACGTGCAAGCGGAAACATGCACAAATGTGCAGTAGAGACCCAAAGACCAGCTGACCGGCGGGAGGCAGGGCATCCCAACACCAGCAGCACGGCAAGAGGTAAAATCTTTTTCTTTCGTGAGCTGTTTCATGGTTTGCAGGGAAACAGAAGCTCACGAAAGAAACACCATGGAGATCTGATCTGGGGCAACGGCACACGTGCCAGCAGAGAGGGCTTTGGGTGCCATCTTTGGCATGCATGTCATAGGTTCGCCATTATGGGACTAGGGCCTTGAAAGGAAGACTTCCTATCTTATTGACTGCAAAAGTAATATAGTGATTACAGTGTTGGATTAGAACTTCTGAAATTCAGATTCAAGTCTATACCCAGCCATGGAAGCTCAGTGGGCTCAGCGCTCTTTCTTGGCCTAATCTACCTCAAGGGCAATTGGGGGGGGGGATATCTGCACTTTGGAAACATGAATCTCAACCGCACATATATCCTTGTGAACCGGTTAACATTGGTTCTCTTTGCACCAAACTGGAACAGGTTTTGTTCCTACGTGTTAAACTAATGTCTGAATTAGAGATGTTCTAGTGTGCAGGACTAAGGCATTGTTCTTCCTTACCACTGCTTTTCATTCATGATTTGTTCTTCTTTGTCAAGCAATTTCACTGATCACATTGCCATGTATCCAAATTATGCCTGAACATTTAAACCTGCCTCAGTTATATAGGAGCTGCTCAGAGAAAGCTTTGGTTTGGGATAATATCTAAACATCCAATCTATCAGTCCAGAGCAGAATGTTTAAGAAATCTAAAATCTCTCTTATCCTTTCTTGCAACCTTCACTTAATCTCCTAAAGCCATCTTAATTTCTTTTTTAGAATAATTGGATTGAAACGGTGGGTTACAAAACTGGCATGTGCATCAATTGTTTGTGTTGGAATAGCAAGTTATATAATGTTGGTTATTTATTTCACCTTTTCACTTTTTGAACTAGCATGCTATATTTGAATTCAGCTAACATGTATTCTTGCAAACAGCGTTATGAGTAAGACAGGATAGATAATCTTAAAAATAGGTAATTCGATATAATCTGTGTATCTGTAGTACACGTATAAATCAGCTTCCCCTTCAACATTGCTTCTTAGAGTTTCGGTTATGGAAATAACCTGCCTAAATTATTTGGATGATAAATACCTGGCAAATTTTAGATGAAAACTTATTCTGATAATTTTAATTTGATTGAGAAATTCCATGGTATACATGTTTTTATATGTCTAAAGAAAGTGAAATAATAACAAAATTATCCTAGTGATCAAGATTTCTGACATAATCTTCATACGATCTCTTTAGAGTGGGATGACATTATTATTGTTGTTGTTACTAATTATTGAGCATCTGAGGATAAAAGATTTTGGCTTATTTAAAAACAATCCCAAACAGTTTAGTGCTAGTAACCTAATTACTAGAACTAGGTTAAAACTAAGACTTTTAATCACAATGTAAGATAATAAGGAAGGATATATTAATGTCCACATTTTGTTTAAGTAACCTCTATTTGGAAGCTTATTGAAATAAAGGAAAAAGTACTTTGTGCAATAAAATAAATACCCAAAATAAGACATCCCCTGATAATAAGCCCAATCAGGCTTTTGAGTGCATGTCAATAAGGCCAAGCACTTACTTCAGGGTTCAAAAAAATATAAGACAGGGTCTTATTTTTGGGGAAACACGGTATGTTGGGATTTTTTGTTTGTTTGTTTGTTTGTTTTGGTGGTCTGTTGGTCATGCTGAATAGGAATTCTGGAAAGTTAAAGTTCTAACACATTTAGAAACAAGAAATGAGGGGAGGTTTCTGTATGGATGTCTTTCTAATGCTTTTCTCAACAAAATGCTGAATATAATCAATTAGTTAATTTATTCATGATACCAATATGAAACCAACAATTAGAAATCTATAAAAAAAAACTATCATGTGTTTGAATGGTCATTCTCAACAACGCAAATAGGTTTGCTATGAATATCTGCTGGGGCAATTTGGTGTAGTTACAGGATATATATTTTTTTCTATCTATGCCCCCCACCCCCAAATGTCACTGACCCTGATTGTGGTTGGTTGAAAAAAGTGACTTCTGACCGTTTGTCACATTTACAATTGTTGCAGTATCCCCATGGTCTTATGATCAAAATTTGGATACTTGGCAAATGTCATGTACTGTACTTTTCAGACTATAAGACACACTTTCCCCCCTAAAAGAGGGTGGAAATGTTGTTGCATCTTATACACCGAATACAGCCATTTTTGGGCCCCCCAAAACCCCGTCCCGCACGTCCCATTTTTGCCAAAAACAGGCCCTTTTTCTTACAAAATCTGGGTCTGCAGAGTGCTTGGGAGGCCTGCAGAGTGCTCCTGGGGGCTGGGGAGGGCAAAAATGCAACACAGGGGGAGTTTGGAAGGCCAAAAATGGGCCTGTTTTTTTGCAAAACCGGGGCTTACAGAGGGTTTGGGAGGCCTGCAGAGAGCTCCTGGGGGTTGGGGAGGGCAAAAACGCGATGCATGGGGGGGTTGGGGAGGCCAAAATTGGGCCCGTTTTTCACAAAAACAAATGCGCAGAGGGTTTGAAAGGCCTGCAGAGTGCTCCTGGGGGCCGGGGAGGGCAAAAACCTCTTCGAAACCTTGGTGTGTTTTATATTCCGGTGTGTTTTATAGTGCGAAAAATATGATATTTACGACAGTTGCAATGTCCCAGGGTCATGTGATCATCTTCTGTGACCTTCTGACAAGCTAAGTCAATGGGGAAGTGAGATTCACTTAACAACTGTCTTAACAAAGGCAGTAATTCACTTAACAACTGTGGTCAGGTTGTAAAAATGGGGCAGAACCCACTTAACAATTGTCTTGCTTAGCGACGGAAATTTTGGGCTCAAATGTGGTTGTACATCGAGGACTAGCTATATAACCTATTGACTCCCAAAATTGCTGCAAGAACCACATATACAAGACGTTCCTAAAGACTAACACAAAGTCTAACGTCACCTTCGGAACGGAGAGGTATGATGTTCGAGAGGGTGGGAGCCACTATAGAAAAGTCAGCTAATCTGGATCCTGTCAGATGGAACTCATTTGCAGATGGATCCAGAATATATCTCTTCTGCTGGCCCTGATGAGATGTAGATTTAGTGCAAAGATCAAAATAGAATTGACAAGTTTCATCACATCCAACTGAAAGGATCTTATCTATGCAAAGTTCAACTGGACAAGCTGTAAAAATAATTACCGGGTGTTTATAAGTTGGAACGGTAGAAACAAAAACTGTTTCATTTGATAGAAGAAAAACAAAAAACGGCAGGTAACAAGTTCTATAGCAAGGGTGTCAAACTGGCGGCCCGCGGGTCGAATGCGTCACATGGAGGCCACACCCACCCCAGCTCTGCAAATGGGAAAAATGTCACAAAACATCACGTGACGCAGCAAGTTTGACACCCGTGGCCTATAGGATCATTAAGTGCTCTAGTAAGGAAAGAATAATCTACGAAGTGAAACCGTAGAATCCTTAAAAAAAACAAAAAAAAACACCCAGGATGAATTATATTGATATGCTTCATAATGGCAC